AAAGGGAGTAGAGACCTCTACAGGTGCTCTCATTATTTGATCTGTAACACACACACACACACACAGGAGGAGCATCTGTCTTCTGAGCGGTACGAGACGCTGATGGGTGTGCTATTGATCAGGTCTGAGCCAAGTGAGGAACCGGTTGCAGCACAAGACCCAGGCAGCCGAGCTCAGATCATTAGAGGGGGCTCTCTGTGGTCGGGGTCACGCAGGTGTTGAGACCAGCCATCTCATTTCCTGCCACAAAGCGAGACAGCCAATCAATAAAGCGACACGGCAACTTCTGGAGAAAACCCACAGCGGGGAGAACACACACATACGTACACACACCAACACACACATACAGAGGCAGTGGATGGTCTTTGTATTTACAGTAACACTTGGAAATGTTCCCTGCTTCCTCCTGATGACAGACGCTCAGAGACAGCTGCATGCACATGTACTCACACAGGTACACACACAGGCACACACACCCTGACAGGTGCTGCATTGTTATGGCATGTCCAACTCTGGCAGCTTGTTTTCCTCAGACCTCTCGCCCCGTGTGATGACTCAGAGACGGGGAGATGAAAGGAGAGGCAGGGACAGGGGGGGAGGAGAGGAGCCGGTGGTGGGGGGGGGACTCTGACAGGAGGGAACGAGGAGGGCCTGAGATAGCTCGAGCGTAAGAAGGTTAAGTAAATCATATCATTAATGCTATGTTAAGAGATTGCTTTGACCTCTGCTTGGCTGTCTGCATATGCAAATGTGTGTGTATGTGTCTGGCCTTTGTCCCACTAAAGCAGGTGGCAGCAATGACGTCCGTCTTCTTCCCAGCAGCTCACACACACACACACACACACACACTTTCTGTCTGCGCTCTCCGGTGTCAGTCCCACTAGATCCTATCGTGCTTGAAATTCACTCATCATATCGGGTGGCCTCACTGTGCCGCTAGCTGACACAAAATGCGCGCACGCATGCAAAGACGCCCACACACACACACACACACACACACACACACACACACACACATGCAGCAGCAGCAGCAGCACAACGCGGTGGACCGGCTTGATTATACAAGCGGAGCAGCTCAACCTGACAGAGGAACAGGCACCAAAAAGGAAACACGAAAAGAATATAAAAGGCTTATTTGCCCGTGTTGTATAAGCATGTTTCATCTTCCCACTCTCGCCTACCCTCACCCACACAGGTTAGATCCAATAGCTGGTGCCAGGCCTCTCTATCTTGCAACACAAACATCTCCATGTGAAGGAATATTGCAGTCGAGTTCTTTTTCATAATCTCTTTCCCTCTACACCCACACATGCACATAGTGAGGGGGTGAGAGGGAGATGGGGGGTAAAAAGGAGAGCTGGTAAAAGAAAATGAAAAGAGGAGAGGTGAGGAGGGGGGTGGAGAGGAAGAGAAGAAGTGCTCATGAGAGCCAGGAGGTAGTTGTTATAGTAACTGTGTCTCTATACCTGTCAATCAGAGCTATTTCAGGCATCTCGCTTCTGTGGTTGAAGGAAAAAATAAAATAAAAAAAAAAACTGCACATACCAGGGCCACGGAGCTGTTTCACTGAGGGGAGAATGATCAGGCGACGCCACGCTAAGCTGATAGATGGTCGAGCAAATCATCACCACAAAAGAGATTTCAGCACTCTAGCTTTTTTTTCAAGATTCTCACACTTCACCTTTATGGTGCAGTTTATGAAGCAAGAACAAAGGAAAAGAGCAGCACAATAAAAAATCACTGCAAACAGGTAGATTAAAGCAGCGTTTTCTGGTTCAGTTCAGTCAAATGAAGATAAACACCTTTACTGATACAGTTCAGCTGAGATTTAACACCGTCAGTAGATAAAAGTGCATTTTGTTTCTAGATTGTTTTACATAACAGAAATGTTTACACCATTTATCCATTACATTTAGTTACATAATATAACTTATCTGTGATTTATTGTAGAATTTTATCCAACAGTTTACCCACATTTTTTGGGGGCTAACTAACATTATTTAGCCATTTAACTGTCTGTTTCGACTATTTATTAATTTCTTTAGCTAATGTTTAAACCATGATTTATATTTTGACTAATTTTAGCCATTTATCTACAACTTTTATGCTATTTATTCTTTGCTCGTTTACCCATTGCTTATAGCTAATATGAGTCAACCAATTAGTCACTATTTGTTAGCTTTAGTTGTTTATAAATTTAAACTATGATTTATACATTTGCTAATTTTAGCTAACTATCCCAACTACTTATTCACTTATTACTACAGTTTACCCAATACTTACAGCTACTACAACAGAATAATTTAACCATGATGGAAAATTTTTATTTCTCTATTTCAGCCATTTATACCGTTATTTTAGCTAAAAATTTGAAGTGTTTTTGATTTAATATTCAGACCGTGACTTACTGATTAGCTAATCTTAGCAAGCTGTTTCAACCATTTATAAATTATTTAAGCTAACAATTATAAATTCAGGGTATTCATTAGCTATCTGTAGTTATTTATTTACTACTTTTCCACTATTTATTATCTTTTGCTTTTACTACGCTTGGCCCACTTGTAGCTAACATTGTTCAGACATTTAACCGCTACAGATAACTATTAGCTTTGTAGTTCAACCATTTAGACATTATTTTAGTAATAATTTCAACTTTTTAAATGCTAACTATTACTTGCAGTTGTTTTTTTCCCCAACCATTTATAAATTGCTTTAGCTGTTGATGTAAACCATGATTTATTCATTAGCTAATCACAGGTATTTTTTAGCCATTTATAGTCTTTACTTTCACAGCATTTATCTTTTACTGCAGCTGACCCACTGCTTAAAGCTGATATTATTCAGTTAGCCACTATTTAGTAGTTTTAGCTGGTAGCTGTGTTTAAACCACCAATTATTTAATTGCTAACTTTAACCATTCAACCATTTAACTACCAAAGATAACTTTTAGCTGTCTATTTCAGCATTTATTGATTTATTTTAGCTATTAATTTGAAGTGCTTTTAACTTAATATTCAGACCATGGTTTAGCTAATGTTAGCAAACTATCTTACCCATTTATTAATTATTTTAGCGGACAATTTCAACCACAGTTTATTTCTTAGCTAACAGTTTTAACCATTTGTCTTTCGTTTTACTACACTTTACCCACTTGTAACTATCATGATTCAGCCTTTTAACCGCTACAGATAACTATTAAGAGTCCATTTTTAAAACATTCATGCACTATTTTAGGTAACAATTGCAAATATGGTATATTAATTCCTTCAACCTATTAGAACCATCCTTTCTTCATTAGTTATTTTGAGTTATTTACTACTTTAACAGTACATATCCTTACTTTCGCTGTTTATCTGCCACTTGTTGTCAACATTATTATATTATATAACACTATTTATGACTTGTACAGCCAGTTCCTCCAACAGTTTACTTTTTAATAGCTATTTGAAGTATTAATTGATTCTCAGCAGCTAGAACTCAGTTGCAACACTTGACTAAATGTGTGGCTATGTATGTGTTTTTGTGCTATTTTTATTTTTAACTAACCGAGCTACAGCACGCTCTCACGCCTCAGGGCAAATGAAGAATAGCCCCCGAGGCAGAAGCCTCCCTGGTTGCTGGTTTCCTTAATCGAGTGTTTCTGTGTAATTATCAACATCATAGCCAAAGAAAAACCCTTGATTCAGCCATATTACGGACAAACACATGGTGAGGAGGAGAGAAAAGAGTGGGGGAGTAAGAATAGTGTGAGCACCAATATGGCTGAGTGCTGAGTTTGGGAGCCATTAGGCAGAAGGTAATTAATGCCTGTCACTGCAGTGCTCCGTTCGCTGCCTTTATTCTGTTTCAGACCAATTAAAATATGACACTCCTCCGATGGAGAACGTCTTGTTAAAATTAAGCGCCTGAGATGCACAGACACCTTTGATAAACACATTCAGAGCTACAATTGGCTTTGGCAGCAACGGCACGCCGTATAGATGGATACAGAGGGAGCAACATGGCAGTGTGTACGTGTTGTGTCACTTCCAGTAGGAGATGTGAGCTGTTAGAGCTGATTAAAAGTGTGCATCCTCGTGAGTTTCACTCTCAAGCGCACACGCGTGCACACCGGAGACTGACGTAATGTTATGAGACGTTTATGAGCCAAGAGATACTGACCGGTGTGGATAACTCACTGCCAACGATTTGCAGATTGGACAGCAAGGACAGACGAATGGTAAGCAAAAACAGATGAGCCAGGGGAGAGGGGAAAAAAATGGAGGACAGAGCAGCTGAGGATATAAAAAGACAGGTGGTATGCTGAGAAGAAGGGAAAAAAAAAAAAAAAAACAAGCTTAAGAACAAAGCAAAAATATGATGAAGAGAGTAAAATAGGACAGAAAACAAAAGGATGGGGAGAGTGGAAAATTAAGTGAAATATGGTGGGGTTGTTAAAAGAGTTGTGGTGATAGGAACTCGAGAAGACAGATTAGACAGAGAGAAGAGAGGGGAAAATGGAGAGAGGTGGAGTGATGGATGCAGGCAGGGGACCAGCAGCTCTCTGCCAACATCTCCATGCATCCTTCCAGACATCACACTGCGCTGCCATCTGCCTCCCTACCACACACACACACTCTGAAACACACACACAGGGAGGAGATATGTGAAATCATTAGCGTCTCCTGACACTGAATAAATATCTGGGGATGAAATCTGTCTGTGGAGAAATCACCTGCGGGGGAATATGATTGGATGAGATCACGACCTCACTGGAACGTAATTTGCATGTCATCTAAATGGGATCTGCCCCCAGTGCTCGGGGGGGTCAAAAGGCGTCCGATGAGTTGGACGGGACGACTCGCGCTCCGATTGGCTGGAAGCAGCAACAATGGCAGGTGAAGCGCTGCTCCCCCTGTGAGCTGCAGGACTGCCCTCTTCTGGCTGCTTTACAATATCTCCAGTTTGATATCAGAAAAAAAAAAGTGGAACACACTTTTAACCGAACAAGACGTCCAACATTTACGGACAAATTCTGGCTGGCAGTTGTTTTTAATCACATTAGAGCTGAGGAATAAAAATAAACACAAAGAGCATGAGAGTGCAGCACACAGAGTGTCTTGGTTAACCACATACAGAGTCTTATTTATACATATATTTATATAATAGAACCATTTCTCCCACTTGTACAGCCTCTGATTGTAACACAGAAATAAAACCCACATTCCCGGGGTGAGAGAGAAAAGAGCGAAAGAAAAAAAAGAGAGCACAACTCTCAACAGTCATCATCTACATTAGAAAACCTGCAGGCCATTCGTTTTTATAGGTTTATACGTCAGAGAGGCATCAGTATTCATTACAAAAATAGGAATATAGTTGATATAGAAGCACTGGGGGTTGATTGAGTGGGTGTGAAGGGGGGGAGAGTGAGGATGTGGCTGTGCCCTCCCATCAGTGGTGTGACCAGTAATGACCACCCGTCCACCCACCCAACACACACACACACACACACACTCCCAGAACCAGGAAACGAAGAGCCATTCTGGGACTCTGCTCGCCTCCGTGAGTGTTGTACAGCAGTCCAGCTCGGTCAGTTGTCAGAGGGAACGGGTTAGGGTTTAAATTAAACAAAATCATCAAAACTATTAGAAAATGAGTACATAAAAAATAACCTCACAGGAAAAAGGAGGGGAGGGGTTAGTGCACTGGTAAAGATAGTTTAGGAAAAGTGCTGTCAGAATCCAGAAAAAATGAGATGAAGATGACGTGAAAAAGAAACCTTTTTTTTTTTTTTTTTTGGGTAGTATGGAATAAAGTACGCAAAAGTATTGAAGGTTTTCAGGGAGAAGTGCAAAGCAGCTCTGAGGTCCGCCTTCAAACAGCTGCTGTTAGTGAGAAAAAATATCAGAGGGGGAAGGGCTGACGGAGATGAAGTGTTATTGCTGGGGACATATTTTTATTTGGTGTTAACATGTGAGAGGAGGAATGAGGAGACCAGGAGGAGAGTTATTGCTGAGGGTAGTAGGGCTGTTGCTGGGGCGGTTGCTGGGGGTAGCCGGGGTAGGGCTGTCCTGCTGGAGGGGCTCCTGGGTATCCGCCCTGTCCTGGGGTCGCCTGGTAGGGCATGTAGGGCACGTTGTACTGGCCGTAAGGGTAGGGGTTGTAGCCCATGGGCATCTGGAAGTACCTGCACGGACACAACAACGGACGAAGGAAGTTTCAGAGAGGCCTTCAGCTAGATCTCAACCATCGTGTGTTATTTGTAGCTGAAACAGGTACTCAGTCAAATCCATTGTTTCCAGTTCAGCCAAATTGGACAACTGGGCTACATCTCTGTTAAAATTTTGAAAAACAGCAAAGTACTTGTGAAACAAGTAATCCTGAAATAATCAGGACACACTATCTGACCTCAGTATACAGAGCTAGAGGTATGGTTGGGGTTTTATAGCATCTTCACACTTTGCAGAAATGATCCACGTTAGTCCTGTTTTGTTTAGCTTCCACACTGACATTTTTACTCTCACACCAAAGATACAAAACAAATACCATATATATAAGATCACAACCTGATTGGACAGCTTTTAGGACTTACAATTTCCAATGAAACTTGACGAATCACCAAAACAATGTGTGCTGGACTACTCACACTTGTTTGATTAGTTTTTCCATAATGTGATGGCACTGTTACCAGCTGAGAGCTCAGGACGAGCTAATAAAATGCATGAAAGAGTCAAAGAAGGACCAGAAACGAAGATATGCTGAAGAGTATTCCGACGCCTGAACTGAACTGAAACAGGAAACAATGATGAGAAGAACCAGGTCGGCAAAAGAACGCAACCTGCTTTCCATTCATTCAGTCCGTGCTGTGTTCAATTTAACCGACACAAACCTGCCAAATAGGAATGCACGCTTACAGTATCCTATTAGGTTTCCCTTAAAACATTTGCAACAAGTAAAATTAAATCTGATTTTAAAAATTGTATGATGTTGAGAGACTGTACTTTTGGTGGCAGCTTAATTTACATTCAACCTGTAGCTGCAACATGAAAACGAGATGAGCAAATGAAGACGTGGACGTGTGTCATCATCACACTGTAATCACAGCTGTGGCCTACTCATTTTTACACCTTTTTTTTTTTTCCCACAAATTACTTGCTCCAAATACTGGACTGCGTGTACTGAATTATTAACTTGATGAGCTTAAAATATCGATACGCATTCGACTGGAAGATTCTCAGAAAACTGATCATTGGGGTCATTTATCTCGAGAGGAATCATCTCTCTGCTCAGTCCACTTTGAGTCGTACTGTGGCGTTGCAGAGTGATGTTTCTTCTCACTCACTATCAATCGTTGGCAGACACAGAGAGCTTGCTCACCTCACAGCGGCCAAGTTTATCAGTCATTTTAAAATCCGCATCAATAAGGTACAGCGTTTGTCATGTTAATCGGTGACAGAGAAGGTTAGCATTGGCTGAAAAATTAGAAGCCTGATACCTGGATGTTTTCTAAATTGCCTTTTGCTAGTAAACAAAGAAAGATGAAAGAGAACAGATTTGATTTGATTTTGGTAAAAGCAAGCTCAAAAAGGAGGCCAATAGTCAAAACTAATGCAGGTCAAACTGTGTTCAGACTCTTCTACGCTGGGATGGAAAACTCACTGTGGGTAGCCTTGGTAGGCGGGGTAAGGTGGTCCCTGGGCCTGGGAGGGAGGGGCCACAGGTGGTGGGTTGTTGCTGGGGGCGCCAGTGGGCGGTGTGTTGGTGGGATTGGTGGCGACAGCCTGAGGGGTGAAGTTCGGTGGAGGTGGTCTGGCTGGGGGCTGGGACTTAGGCGGCTGGGGTTGTTGAGGCTGCCCGGCCTAGAAGGCAGAGACACAGATCAGTACAGCGCCATCAGACTTCTATAAAGCTCAGGCATTCAGGGTTTAGCTACTTACAAAGACGGTTCTGGGTGCGGGGGTTGGGCCGGCAGCAGGGGCAGCGGGGGTACCGGGGGTAGCAGGGGTGCTCTGATAGGCAGGAACGTTGAAGGATGGAGCGCTGGGCTCTCGAGCGATGCTCTGCTGCAGCTCCCTGCAAGCAGAATTCAAACGTCACAATTGGCTGTAGTGTTTTCCTCACATTAGGACCTGACAGCCTCTCATCTACTGTCAGGTTGATCAGGTGGCCTGAGGATAACTACTCCTACCCAAAATCATTCCTGACTACCTGAATATGAAAGAAAGAAATTACTCCTGTAACACTTTGTGAAACTAAAGCTGTTGCCTTCAGTGTTAAAACTCAAGATCAGACAAAAAACTAGAAAGAAATCCTTATCAGCCGACCCTTCAATCTTAAAATGACTGTCACACAAATCAGTGAAATGAATAAAAACCCGGTAGGTACGTACTTGAGGAGTTCATCCCGCTCTGTCTTACGAGCGAAAACGATGTCGCTGCATTTGTTCTGGAACTTAAGCAGGATTTCTGTCAAGTCGTTGTAGAACTGAGGAGGGAGGAACAAAAAAGGGGGCAAAAAAATAAATCACCTGCTTTGCAAACCACCTTGACGCGCAAAAAAACACAAACAAAAGTGGAAAGTTTCTGACGAGATATGCATTATCGCAGCCTGGTTGCTGAGGCTGGTGTGTGCCGGCATTGTGCTGAGTGAGTACCTTGGTGCCTTCGCGCAGGTTGCTGCTGATCTCAACGTAGCTGTCGTGGGCTGAAGCCAGCTTCTTCAGGACCTCCTCCCTCTGGTTGGCCTCCGTGTTGGACTGCTTCAGACTGCTGAACTCCTGGTGGGACGTCTGGAGGAAGATCACAGGGGTGAGAAGAGTGAAGCTCAGACTGAAGTGGTTAACCTCTGCCACTTAGTAAGAAGTATATTCATGCACTGTAAACTGGAGATATTTCTTTGCACACAAGGCACTTTGCCATTCAGAGGCCAAACCAGATTTTATTCACTTCTTTGGACTTCATCTGCACCTGCTGTGTGAACTGTGTGAACTGCTTGCATGTGGTTTTTGTTTGATACGGGTAATACTTCAGAAAATTCCAGTAAAGAAATTCACTTTTCTAGCTCGGATGGAGATCAGCGGCCAAGATAAGCTTCTTTTTTTTTTAATGCTTGTTCAGTAATTTTAGTGGAGCAGTGCAGACACATGAACTAATAAAAGAAATCAACAAGAGGCCACACTGCTGCTTAATCGGTGCTTTCTACGGAGACTGTGCGTGCGTTTGTGTACCTGAACTTGTCCCAGCAGCTCTTCCTGTGAGCGGAGGCTGGCCTGCACCCTCTGGTTGTAGGCGCTGTACAACTGGTCGAGCTGAGAGAGGGACAGCTGCTCCTCGTTGATGGCTCCGTCCTGGGCGAGCGCCGTCAGGAAGGTGGTGGACATGTCAAAGGTCACGGCCTTGATTTCCCCCTCCAGGGTCTCCCTCTCCTTCTTTATCTCGTCCAGCTGGGCCAGCTGGGAGCGCAGCACGTTCACTACCTGGTGGGGACATGACACCTTCACCTTTCCATCCGTTTTTCTCCTTCGGTGCGCTAGCCTTATTTAATGCCTGACCTCTCACCCTTGTCATGGTGAGAGCAATTTACAGCACAGCTCAACACCTTTTGTTTGAAAACACTGTAGCTGGAGAGACGTGCACCTCTTCCTCGCTCTTTCCCAGTTCTGCTTGCTTAGTTATTTAAGCTCCCCAGTGAAACACAATGCAAAGTCAGCAAACAAAATGAAAAATGGAGCTACTGTGGGGAGGAGGGAAAGGGCTATAAAGCACACAGCGTCCACCGGGTGTTTTTGGTGCAGGAGGAGTCTGTGTTTATGTGACACAGAAAAGGCCTCTGGATGACGTGACACACACTCCAAACTCAAAAAACTTACCATAACTAGAAAAACTTTTCACATTATCTGGTCTTACAAACAAAAAAAATACGAAGACAATGGACAGACCTCGCTGCCCTGCAGTGTCTTGGTCGGGTTGGCGGAGGGGATGGCAGCGTTGAGCTCGTTCTCGGGTTTACACAGCAGGGTGATCATGTCACAGTGGGCATTGTAGCGGTCTCTCACCACCTGGTCGGCCTGCACCGCCTTGTCCAAGATGTTGCGGAAGTTAGCACCCTCTGGGGGAGAAGAAGGAGGGTGGGGAGTTAGAGGGAACATGACACGGAGAAAGGAATTTTTTATTTTTTTTTAAATGGAAAAATGAGGAGTAAGGTCACAGACAAAAGGAGACATACGTGGCTAAAGGGAAACAAGAGTGACAGGTTTTCATGCTGTACCTGCACGAAGGGGCTTGTACAGGTCTCCAGAGGGGGTTCTGTTCCAGCGCTGGTTGAACTTGGTTCTCAGCTCATTGTCTGTCGTCTCTTCATCGTCCAGCATCTTCAGAGACTGATAGACAAAAACACACACATGCTGAGTGGAGACAGCGGTTGTGAACACCTTAATCTGACACACCGGATGTCGGCTGCCATTGGATAAGCCTGCCATTGGACACTAAGTTCAGGTGCCTTTGTGCTTCTGTTTTGCTTTCCGTGCATTACTGTTTTTAAAATCGTCTTCACTATGGGAAACAATAACATTAACTTACATGTAGCAACCTACAATACTGAAAATAGTTAGGAGTTTGTTTGGTGGGTAATCTACATAATGAAGGTGCTCGTCTTCCTGTGGGAACACGGAAGCCGCATCCACCCAAGACGACTGTGATTTGTTTAAAGAAACACAAACAAGCCAGAGTGCGTTTCCCCCCATAACAGAGTGATAGTAAGGTGCAGCCACACCATTAGAGTTCTACAGGATGAGCTGGCTAAGCAAAACTAAAAACACCTTAATAACACGCTCAGTAGCCGTTTGCCACCTGGGCTTTGTGCTCAATAATTATGAGATATCTGAGGGCTATTTTAGAAATCACCTTATACCCACCGTACAACAAGCAAAAGCCAATAACTGTTCTTAACAAATAATTTAGATTGGTGATGATTTTCTGTGTCGGTTCAATTTCCTGTCAATTAATTCCTTCATACTTTCAGCACTACATTCATGTGTTTTAAAGTCAAGACTGGAGTTTAAAAATAATCATGAAAAAAAAAAAAAAAAACTCAATAAAGACTAGTCTGTTTTTGGCCCGCAGTTGTTTACTTTATAGTTTCAGCTTGGCTCCGTGTCTCTACACAACACAAGTGACTGCTTTTTGGGGAAATTAGGGCATTTTGGTTTGGACTATTCAACTCCGCCAACAAACTTGGAAGCAGACTGTGCTTTATGATTTATGTTTTTCCTTCCGTCTGTTATTTGTTTGCCTTCAAGATGTTTTTTAAAAATGGGTTGGCTGAAACTGGTGGACAGACAGTCCTTGGCCCAGAGATCAGTGGATTAGATTGCTGTGATGATCCTAATCTGGGATTTCCGCCATTAGGAACGATTATGAGTTTTTAGCATTAATGTGCTCTTCTGGTGTCGGTGGTGGAAAACTCCAACTTTCATGGCATCCAAGTCAGCCTCTAAACAGCATAAGATTCATATGCTACTTAGTCAAGAAAGCAAAGCCATATGACAAACAAGCTGTTTGGAGCCTGTAGTTCTGAAAGTGCCTTCTTTCAGTTTTTGAAAGTGATTTCTAATCACAATAAGCACTGAGGGGTGAGAGGTTTATCCTCTGGTATGTGGTCATTTATAATGCAGCGTGTCTCCGTGTGCCTCTATCGCTCACCTCGTCCAGGATCTCCCTGTTGCGAGTCAACAGTTCAGGCAGGTCTCTGATTAGCTGCTCGATGCTCTGCAGTCCTCCCTGTTGCACAATGGATCTGGCCTTCTCAGCAATGGATTGTGGGATAGAGTCTCCGGACAGGTCCTCCAGAGCAGCTGGCAGGTTTAGGGATGCCAACACCCTGCCGGAGTTACACATCATCTCAGTTATTAGGGTTTCTCAAACACTAACCTCTACCTAGAGACCAAAAAAAGCTGCTTTCATAAAGTTTAATCTTATTTGTGCACTGTAAAATTATTCTATACCCAAAATTTTTCCCCACTGTTTTAAAACTTTTAAATAAAGTTCATCTTTTTGTTCGATGAAACACAGCAAATTTAAGCACTTGCTAGTATCATCAAATAATGTGATAGACGTGCTCGACTGGTACTCAGAGCGCTACACTAGAAACATGAGTAGTTTTATTGACATTTTAATGCTACCTAGTGCTCCATTATGTTATGAATTTTTCAATATCCTAACAGAGGCACTCATTGTTATGTTCATAGGAAGACAATGAACGCCAAGCACAAGCAAAACAACTCATAGAGACAGCGCAGCGTACCCGTTGCAGAGATTGGTAGCCTCCCTCATCGTTCCCACCAGTCTGTTCACAGTCTCCCCCTTTCTCTGGTTGTAAATGCTCATGGACTGCTGCACCGCCATGGGAACCATCTTCTCAAACAAGTCTGAAAAGATCAACACAGTCAACTGATTAGAAATCAAGTCAGCGTGTGTTGTAGATGAGATTCCATCTGCTGTGAAAGAGTAGTAGATAATAAAGAGAGGGTCCAAACCATAAATGACTGCTGTCTTTAATGTGTTTAAATGGGAATTAGCTATAAAGATTTCAGCTCACAGTGTGTTTTATTTTTCCAGTGTGAGGGAGGGAAACAGTTTAAGAGTATGTGATTTAAAAAAAAAAGAAGAAAAAAAGCCTGATGATGGATGTGATGAGCAACCAGTGTTCTGCAATCTACTTGAAGAGTGGAGTAAAGTTGCCTCGATTAGTTGAGATAATCAATAACACTCAAAATCAATATTTTTTAAAAATACTGCATGTTGTTTTTGCTTTAATTCATTGGCTGCAGTCAGGACCACAGTTTGAGGTAACGGCGGCAGCAGCAGTCCCACATGGTTGTTTCTCTTAGACTTATTTGTGTGTGTTGTGTAATCCATTTTAATGTCACATGTAAATGTCTCAAATCATGTAGAGTGGCAGGAAAGTGTGTCTATGTGTCGTACCTGTGAATTTCTGGCTGATTGGAGGTGTGATGGCGGTAGCTTTGACCAGCGCTGCCTTGCCGATATGCTCCAGGTCCTTGACTTCAGGCACACGGTCATGGTAGATAAAGTCATTGTCTTTTTTGGCTGCGGCGAGAGCTCGGTTAATCTTGTCACTCAGGTCCTTGACGCTCACATACTCGTCGTAGCGAGACGCCACCGTCTTCACCAGCTCTGCTGCGTGCTGAAGTGATCAACAGGAGGGAAAATTTACTTCATGAATAAATTTTCTGGGTTTTAATGTGGAACTTCAAGGCAAGTCTGTCAAATTCTAATTTCTCTGAAGTTCTCTCTGAAGCACTGCGGAGGGGAATTTATGAAAATGACAATGTGCACATCATGTGAAGTTATGACAGATGCTTGCTGACAGCGTGGAACGAGATAAAAATCACGGTCAATCCGCGTACCTGCAGACGAGCGATCTCCTCTCCAAAGCGCTTCTTCTGCTTGGCCAGGACGCTCTGGTGCAGCTCGGCGTTGGCCTGCATGATGCAGTGCTTGGCCGCCAGCACCGGCAGCACTTCCTGAAAATAAAAATACTGACCAGGGAGAGGCAACCACAGAGCAACACGCAGGCACGCAAACATATATATACACACGCGCACACGCATGATGGCAAGGCAAACCACAAAATGGCAGACGCACACCAGCGAGGTCAAATCACAGATGACATCACGAAAGCCAGTCGCAAACAGGCACGAGCAGTCAGGAGTGTGCAAACACAACACAAGCGTGCGCACACACAGACAACCAAGTGCCAACACCAACACCACCACGAGGGATGCAGAAAGAAAGGAAGACAACGAGAGAGAAGAACAGAACAGGCCATGAGTGTTTAACCTTTTAGCAAAAGCTGCTACACCTTCATCAAACAACCCACAACCGTGTGTGTGTGTGTGTGTGTGTGTGTGTGTGTTTGTGATGACAGCAGTTCATGTTGGATTTTAGGTATTTGGGCACAACGCAGATGCTACTTTCCAGATATGGATCGATGTCCCTGACCTTGTGTTCAGTGTGAAAACAAAACATGACGTCTTCATCCTATACAAGTAAAAGCATCCTTCAAAAGGTTCTTAGTAACTTGTAGCTTCTTTCAAACTGGTGATTTATTAAGTCAGGTAGCAACTGTAAAACTTCATGGATACCTCCACTAGAAAAGAGTTTTCTGGAAACATGTGTAGCACTGTCAAAGCAATGGCCTGTAGCATCACCGGCAGCAATTTAACTTGAAATATCAACCCTCTGAAAACGGCTTAAAGCATCAAACAACATATAAAACTTACCTGGCAATTATCTTTAAATGTAGGCATGACTTTGTTTTGTTTGCATTTGCATTAAGACTGTTACCACAGATTATTTTGCTGATTATTTTTTGAATAATCATCACGCTTTTTAGAGTGGTAATAGAATTCTTTTTTATTTTTTTGCTTTAATTTATAATTACAAAGTAAATGTTGATTGCGCAAAATAATAGCCACAGAACACCGTCTGCATTTAGGCCGGTTCCCTATAAGGTTCTCACTTCTCACTTTGCAATTGTTTGTGCCACCTGGCAAGAAATCTCCCTGGAAAATAAAGGCTCGACTTACAGCTGAAAGAGTCGAGTAACTCTGGAAACTACAAACTAAGAGCCCCGTTGTCAGAAAAGGAAAAACAGGCAAAGAGGGAGAGTGATAAAAATCGAGGTAAAATGAAAATGAAGCATGGTGGGCATTCACTTTATGGAGGCTTCAAATTGACAGTCATTTGGCTTTATTTCTACGAGATCATTAGTTAACAAAATCTGCCTTATTATAATACAACTGGGTGTTTTACTCTTCCTTTATCATGGTGCTGAGACAGGCCACTATTTCAAATTAGGATTCTTATGGTTGTTTATAGCTTTGGAGAGCAGCCAGGATGTTAATCTATATTAAATTGTTTCATAATTGATTAATCAATTTGAGTATTTTTTTTAAAAAGGAAGAAGAAAAAAATCTCTAAATTCTCCAGCTTCTTAAAATATACTATTCTCTAGTTTCTTCACACCTCTGTGGCCGCAAACTGAACATATTTGAAGGCGTCATATTAGGTTATGTACAGACATAAAACTTTATTTTAACTCACTTAACCTCAAAATAGAAAATGTGTAACATGAAGCTTTGGTGGTGGTGTGTGTGTTTCTGTGTGTGTTTCAGTCAGAGTGTTAGACAGTGAGTACTTCAGATGCCTATGATTAGATGGTGAAAAACCAATCAGAAAGAAAACAGGTCCGACTGTGTTTTAGTAGGAACCAACCAATCACAGTGAGAACAGGATGGAAGTCGACCAATGAGGACAGAGAGGTTGCGAATTGGACAGTCCCACAACCTGAGCCTGTTTTCCACACAGCACACGCACAAAACAATCAGAGACGATGCACACGCCGAGCCATACAGGATCCAAACTCTGTGTGTCTGCACCACACTGGACACATGGCTGACTGTGAATGTGTCTGCTGCGGTTTCATGGTTAGTGTGTAACTGTGTGTGTGTGTGTGTTTGTGTGTGCGTGTGTGTTCTTCACATACCTTGGGGAGGTTGTCTTTGTACTGGCACTGCTTGAAGGCGTCGCCGTAGAAATCTGCCGCTTGATTGGCCAGCTTTGCAATGACAGCATCCTTCATCTTATCTATGGGGTGAAGAGGCCACTTGTAAAGTCATACAACCAGCGGACACACTCAAGATAAGAGGCTGTGTTCTTGAAAACCGCACGTCACAAACAGATCGGCTGTGGTTTTTTGAACTGATCGCTGACATTTGGTTCAATCGAACTGGATGTTACCTAGGAGAGATTCTCCGAGGGGGTTTTTCGGAGCTGCGGCAACCGTCTCGATTTAAAAACATCCCTCTGATGAAATTGCCCTTGCATCCTACAAAACTAATTTACAACTAAAACCTGCACTTCTCAGCAGATGAGAGGTCTAACATTTTCAAATGGGAGCCTTTTTATGATGTAATCTTCAAAACTTTGCCGCTTTAAAACTTTAAAAAGGCAATGCTGTTGACAGAACTGGGGCAGACGCTTTGTGCAACCTGGATCAAAAGTGCTCCCGTCATCGCGAGAAATTAATCTCAAGATAAAAATCCAGCATGAAGTTGTAAATAAAGATTGCATTTATTCAAACTACAACACCTCTTTATATTTGTGACATGAGACTTGCAAAATACACTACACAGCAAAAAAACTGAACAGATTGCACTTTTAAAGCAGCACAGTTGATCTGTGTTCTTTTCTACATGACATTATCGGCGCTGAAAGGTTCAGTCACCTCAACAGGAGCAGCTAATACAGTTACAGTGTTTATGTGAAGAAGCGTGGCAGAGTTAGTACCTGACGTGGCTTTGAGGAAGAAGACCTCCTGGGCCTGGGCCAGCATGATGAGGCTCAGAGTGCCTACAGTCTCGGGGGAGATGTCCATGGTGGGCTCCCTGTTCAGAGCAGAGAGCACCGTGTCCTTGATGTGACCGAACGCTCCACTGGCCAGCTGGAGGGAGGCATACACAAAGAGAGAGAAACACAGATCAGACACTACAGCCAAGATTGAAATTCACATAACCTGATTTTTCTGCACTTCAAAAACAGTCCTGGCCGTCTATAGTGCAAATCTCCAACCGTTCGAGTGTACTAAAAGCGGCTGCATCGCATTCCACCTCCATCGCGCCTGCTGGAAACGATCGAGCCACCGTGCCAATCCTCGCTGAGCGCATTTCACGAAATCAATTTGCGAGCGCTGCTTACACAGAGATCACAGGCGGCGGTGCCATCATGTTGCACAAAAGACTCGCAAAGTGCAGACAAATTTGCAAATCCTGCATGGTTCTCTCACGCTCGTGTCGGCAGCACTGAGTTTATTTTAATTAATGAAACATGTCAAAGTTCTGTGTTGTGGTGAAATGGGCCACCGGACTCTTTCTGCAGATGCTTGAAATTTACTCATCAGTGAATGTTAATGCAGATACTGACATAAAATGCATTTCACTTATGAAACTACTTCCTCTCTTTTGTTTACATCGTCTCCCTGAAGTCTAAGAAGAAGCTGGATGAGCGGTTTAGTGTTTCTCCTGATGTATTCTGAGGAAATGCAGCCGAAAAAATGAGGATAAAATGCTGCAGACACAACACACAATTAGTAGCACAGCCGTAAAATAATTGTAGCCGTACAGATTGTAGAAGTTCTCCACAGGGTTTTCAATATTTCCCTGAGAAAACACTTCACTTCTGACACAGGGGACATTTAGAATTTTAACATGAAACTCATTCCATGTACTCTCTGCAGTACTTCTGTACATATCTGACTGAACGGTAAAGCTTGACCAAACTTTCTGGTTTGATGTGGGTTTGTGTTTGGTTTTGTTTGTTCCTGTGCATGAAAAGCACTACAAATACAGTTCATACGGTATTTCCCAGCAGGTAGTACACTGTGTGGTATTCCACCCACCTGATAGTATTTGGCAGCAGCCTTCAGTCCCTCGTCGTTGTCCAGATTCTGCTCTGCAGCGATCTGACTGGCCAGAGCTGCGACATTGAACAGCACGCACGTCTTCTCGTAGCCCAAACTGGCCAAAGCTGCAGCACAAAAACAAACACAAGGAGTTGTTAGTCAGAGCGAGGGGTGAACGATTTGGGGGGAAACTATTCCTTTGTGTTTTTTCTGACTGTTATATGATTTGTGATATTTTTTTATAAGTCAAGCTTCAGTTTAATATTCACCATGAAATAGATTTAAAACATGTGATGGAGCTTTACCTCGTGAGACACCATCGTGTGACTGTCACACGAGGAGAACGCATGAATTTGTTATATGATATCACACCACAACATTTTCAACCCTGGGTCAACGCATATCCTAAAATGCAGTCTCTGTAATTTGCTAATTTCACTGCTTATAATCCCAATTTAAAAGGCGTCATTTGTTCAGCCCTATTTAAAGGGAACTCTTTCACTTTCATAGAACAGTGGAAATTTTCCACTAAATATATTAGGATTCATTAAAATTGATTTCCTGCTGTTAGAAATGATGATACACAGAGGACAGAGTGGAATCTTTCTGTCATCCTTTCAATTTTGAGTCAGACATTGACCAGTTCCTGTTTATTGGAAACAGTTGTTTGTGTAGGGTTGGCATTTTCTCCAGCCGACATCTCTATTTCTTCATTTTTCTCGCCAACATTTCACTGACAAGAATCCCAGTCATGAACTCCCACAAGTCCCCACAGAGGACAAAAGATTCAAGTGTGAACAAGATAAATGTGAAGAGTTGGGACTTCGATGAAGAGCAATCTGAATAATCAATTTTTATTGAGCTCACACAGCTTTTATGAATGTGTTTGGAACACGGCATGTCTGTCTCTGAATTACACTGAACGCGTACACTTTTGTTTTAAATCTGTCTTCAAACTCTATATGACATCTTGTCAGGCCCGTTTCTGAATGCAAAGTAAAACAAAGACATATGTACTGTCAGAAAGCTTTGTTTCATATTGGGTGTGTGTTCGTATCTGTGTGTGCAAGACCAACAAACACACAAAGAGACAGAAGGATTAAAAGACAGAATGACAAATATGTACCTGAAGGGCAAAATTAGAATTTGGCTTTACGCCTTGGAATATTATTTCCTCCTTCTGCAGCCAGCTGCATTTACTGCTTGCACAGACTGCTACATGGACACATATACTTTCAGATGTACAAACACACCTGATAAGAAGCTACACTTACCGAGCTTGACTGAGCCGCCAAACAGCGATCCTTTATCAAAGGCATCCTTCCATGTGAAGGTTAAGCAGAGCTGCAGAGACAGAGAGACACTTTGTGGTCAAGTGCTTCTGTTAGGAAACTAAGTGTAACACAGTCTTATGCATTGTATAATCAATTACCTGGTTTTCAGAGAAGGGAAACTTGGGTTCGACAGCACACAGTTGGTCATAGTATCTGTAGAGAGAAAGTAACAGCAGGATTAGAACTCTGGTTTTGTTTGTGTCTAAACCAAAAAATTCATTTCAATTCACAAGACAGAAACATCTTTATTCTGATCATTACTGAGCTGGACTTTAGACAAAAAGTAAGCTGTGAATTCTAGTTTACTAGCTAGCTAGAGGTGTAGTGTATTATGACATAACTGCAGATCTGTGGTTTGAGGAAGCTTTGTCATTACAGAGACACTTGACAATGAGTCAGGAAAAATACCAGAGCAGGCGAGCACGCAGCCAGTGACAGCGCCTCAGCTCTTCATGCTATCAGTGTCTGTATCAGTGGCCTGTGACGTGAGTGGTCTATAATTAGGAATGACAGTATGCAGAGGGGCAAATTAGGAAATCCCCTCTTACCAGTTCATGGACTTTACTCCTGTGGACCTGACTACAAACATACAAATCTGGCTTCACGTATAGAACTACTCACATTTACAGTTTGTTTCCCATGCAAATACAAAAGGACACACACACACACACACAGGCTCAGAGGAAAACTGAGATGAGGCGTGCCTACAGGTTAACGTCCTACCCAAACAATGGTCACCATGGTGACACAATAACTCAGTGTCTGCTCGGTGTGAAAGGGAGAGGGCCTGTCGCTACGGCTACCTGGCATATGGCTAACAGACAACATGTGCAGCGAGCCAAGGGATGCGCTCTATTGGAAAAAACTGACATTGTGCTATTTTGTTTCTTTGCGATAAATCTTATGATAGGATACGATATGAAAACGTACATGGGTTTCCACCAGATGACTTGAAGTATTCTATTTTGAAAGAACTAATCATTGTACAATGACAGGGGAGTGCATCTACATATTAGATAAAAAAGTATTTCGAAACACTGAAAAAAAAAACGTAAACCTTTTTTACATGGTAGAACAAGATATCCAGAATTACTTTGTGGTTTATACGGTACTCAGATTTAGTTTTAAACTCATCATACAGAGCTTTGTGCTGGTGATGTAAATAGTCAGGCAAATTCATCATGTTGCCTTGTTCACCAGCAATAACTGCAAGACACTGCCGACAGAATACTTGTTTTTGGTCAAAATCCAAAGCCGAATTAATTCCATACAGCTGACTTTGCTTTTATTTTCACAACCAAATCTTTCTTTTCCACAGTTTCTGATTCCTATTGCTGGAGCACATGTTGGGCCTGCATGACAACAAACTCTGTTATTGGAAGAAAGTTTAAAGAAACTTTGTGCATCCAAGAACCCCTAAACTGGAGTGAATTATTTTCTATCAGACAAACTTTTCTTGTAGATTAGTCATTAAAAATGAGAATCATGCAAGCTTTCCTTTTGTATCGAGCGACAAAAAAAAGTTGCAGCACGACGTGTTTGAGTTAATTTGCCTCACTTCACATTGCACTTCCTGTGGTATGACATTCTTGCTTTTTCCTGACTACTCATCCTGCCAGACCACAACCACAGACACAGTATCTAACACATAAACCACCTCAGGACATCTACAGATTTCTAATTATCAACATTTAGATTATTGGTCAATTTGTTATATCTCCAGAAAAAAACTGTCAGCAAATCTTTTTATGTTTTGTGATCATTTTCAAGATGTGCAAGAAACTTTTTCTAAAGTTTCTTCTTCTCAAACACTGTCCTATCAACACATAAAACCAGTATAAAACCAATATAAAAACCAAATGAACAATATGCATCAAAAATCTGGAAAAGTACCTGTAAATGAGCCAGAGTACGCCTTAAAAATCTTATTTTCATTTGTTTTTCATGGCCAGTTGTTAAAAAGTAGCATAATTATTTTTTTTACCGATAAAAGTGTGATGGATCCGACACCAGCTCTCTCTCTTTTTTTTCCCAAACTTTAAATCTGTACTGGGATTATTTTTATGTACAGTAAGAGGAGACTGCAGTGACAACTTCAAAGCGGAGCCAATATTGATGTGGTATATTGGATCAGTGCGTCCATAATTTAAACTGACTGAAAATGGAAATTGGTCAGACGTGACCATGAAGTCATGGTGCGACAGGCAGCGCCGCTCAGAAAAGCATTACAGAGTCACATGAGTGGAAGCGGCCTATCGGGCTAAAGGTAAGGAGAGCTTCTGCATTACTTAATTTTTGGCTGCATTCCCACTTTAGCTTTTAGCACTCAACACCTTGCGCTGGTTTTATCTTTCAAGCGCTAAAGAGCCTGAACTTGCCACTTGCGAAAAAATTCCACTGTGGCTGCAAAGTAGCTCACAGTGACAAAAAATGGAAAACCGGGACCCTTCAAACGATACCCAGGTCTTCAAGTTATCTGGACAAACCCTGTGCATAAAATGACTCATGAGTGAGTGAGAACAAAGACTGAAATCAAAGAGGGCAAAGTCTGCACCTATGTATCACCTATAAGTGGGGCATGCTGGTTAATATACAGTCAGGTTTTCAGATATGATGGTGGTGTATGAGAACTACACGAACTTGGTCAAGTCTTCTCTATTAACACTCACTCATTAAACAATCATAAGTCTTTGTAGTCACATGAGGGCAAGGCATCAGTTAACAGCCAGGTGACATTAATGGCGCAAGGGACACAGAGGAACTTTGTCTGACAAACATCAATCCTATTTAGGTCTCAGTTCCTCTATGCAAAGCGGTTAACACTGCAGCACTGTTTTTCCTCAACTGTATGTGACATCTGACCAACAGGAAAACTGACAACGCCTGGACTTTCCTTGCTGGCGCTCTGTAGCTGCATAGTTTATTCAACTCTGGGAAGTTTAAATGGGAAGCCTAAGTACACAGACTTTAATCTCTGTAATCTGCATCCAACTAAACTATGGATATGTTTGTCAGCTTGTTACATATGGAAACTGGCAGGTGATGATGGTAAGTTTTGGTGACTAATACATGAAGAAAATTTGCATTGCCCATTGACTTTACAAGAAAAGTCTGTACAAGATCACTGCTCCAAGGTTCTTAGATACACAGGTCTTTCTTTCTTTCTTTTCTTTTTTTTAATTTTGTCTACTTTAATCACGAGATACAGAGTTTGTTGACATGCAGGATCCACATGTGCACAACAAAATGAGCAAGGAACAGTAGAGAAACATGGAAAGGGAAGATTTAGTTGCAATAAAAACACAGTGTCAGTTCTATAAAAATAATTTGGCCACTGAAAAGCTGATGTTGACCAAAAAGGGGCACTCTGTCAGCAGTGTCTTATACTAAAGGAGGCCACACAACTCATTTGTTTAACTATTTGAATCAGTACTACGAAGCTGTGAGACAAAGCCTGACCTGAGTGTCACCCAAAGCAAACTGCTATCTCCGATCCCTGAGGTCATCAGATAAAAATACCAGTATGTATTCATTTATCAGAAAAACAAAACAATGCCAGTCTTGTATTAAGTATTCTGCAGCCCTAGATGACAGTGACCACTATGATGAAGTTGAATAACGATGTTTAGATTTTATGATATGCTGACATTCACGTACAGTCCTTCTTGAACTTGTATGGTCTCTTATAGCAAAGGTTTGACATTTGTTTTGTTTTGTTATGCGCATGTTTTAGGTATTTTCTTGTGTTTTGGCTCCAGGCCTGTATGTGTTCTGTGTTTCCCTTTGGGGACAATAAAGTTTAAACTGAATGTTGAAGCTAATTCTAATGCTAAAGTAAAACATGCAGAGTTTTTTTTGAATAATTTCAGTGAGCAGGCCTATAGATGACAACTTAGCTAGCAAGGCTAACTTTATCCGCTAAGTGCGTGGCAATTGAGTTAAACAGGCTAACATGTCAAGTGTGAATTATCCTCGCAGGACAAACTTGGCAGGAGAGACATATGACTCAGTCATTTCGGGGACAATCGCCTCCTAGCATTTTAGCTTTACTAACTTTAGCTCCAGTGCTAGCAGCTCAAAGCTAACCCTGCTGGGTGCGGCAGTGACTAAGCTAACACACCGCCACCGGTAAGACGGTCGCTCGGAGCATGAGTCAAATGGCAGCTGGTTCAGGTGTTACAGGGCGGTTTTTTACCTGAGAATAATCTCCAGGGAGCTCTCGTGTTTGTCCAGCGGCCTTCCCAGCGCGTTCTTGCGGAGCTTGTTGAGCTCCTCCACGGCGCGGACATACTCTCCCTGCTCCTCGGCCGCTGGGTATGAAGCTATGACAAATTTCGCCAGCGGTTTCACCAGATCCACCTCAGAGGATTTTTTTAACGGGACTGAAATAAACGTCGCCATTTCGTCCCGCAAAAAGCGCTGAATTGAATCAGAAAAACAGACACGAAGAGCGACCAACGAACACAAACAACAGCGAGCGACCCACTTCCTGGATTCTGACAGGGAACGTCAGTTACGTCATGAAGCACGGAGAGGCGCACTGCGCAGAATCAGTATCGTTTTAATTAGGCATTTCACAGCAGATGGAAAAGTAGCTTCATCTGCTGACAGACACACAATCTTTTATCTCCACGACTGCACATCAGGGCCGAATTAACCCACATAGAGGTCCAAAGTATATATATATATATATATGTATGTATAAAAGAAAATTACATGGACCCTGGTAGGTTGTGAGGTAGTTTAATTAAACTGTAATAACTTAATAATATGCACCATGCATTAACAATATGAACAACTATTGTGCCCCAAGGTGTTTAAAATTAGGAGACACTATAAATGAAAAGGGCAACATTTTTAACGAATAGATTTCAACATGACTCTTCCCCGGTTGATTGCTTACTATAAGAAAGCAATATGCTGCACTACAAGTTTCCTGAATTGGTTTAAATACACTAGTGAGGTATTATATACCTAAAAAAAAATGCACTTGTTCTGCATTAATTTCGAAAAAACAAATCTGAGCATTTGATAAAGCCAGATTCAAAATTCTTGTTACCTTGTGTTGATATGTTAGAGTCAAAGGTTTTCACATTTTCCCCTCCATAAATCAGAAAATACCGTCAACAGCCAGAAACAAATCAATTTCCGTGATGATTTCTGGGAATAAAATGTTACATAAACCAGGCTGTGAATGATACATAAACAAATCCCTGTAAAATCCCTTCCAAATACAGACAGAAATAAAACTGGAATGTTTCTCTGGCTCAGAGTAACCAAAAAATTAAACATTTTGAGAAAGCAGCATTTTAAAATATGCAATGTAGAATTCTTTAATTTAATACTGGAAACCCGTATTTATTGGTTAAACTGAAAGACTACCATGAAACCTTCCCATATGATTATTTATATGAAGGCAATTATTTTTGTATTGCAAATTTTCAAAAATTGAATGTTTAAATATGAAGATGAGGCAATATTTCATCAAATAAGCACTAACTTGTACTAAAACATCTACATATATCAACACAAACATCTACATATATATTGTGGGTGTTTTCTTTCCCCTAATTTGAAAGAAGACGTGTAAAAATAGCTCAAAATTTCAAAACTGACTAGTATGTAAAAAAGTGTTTTTTTTCCCCACACTGTCCTGCCTTAAATAGAAAGTTAAAACATGTAACCACCAAAAATCATAAATATAGCCAAAATATATATACCTACAATTGTGAAGTAGTTTAATACATGCCTGTTTCACATCATTTGTAAGTCAAGCGAGGCAAACAGGGCACAACCAGTTAGACAGCATGTACTCAACACGTACACGCCCAAAGTCATCACATGTGCAGCCAGTTGGTTGTCGTCACGTCATTAGTTAAATGAAGTTCTGCTGTGTGTTAACAAGAAGTCGCAGTAACACAAATATAAATA